CGGACCCGTTGGGCAACCGCCGTCACGATCCTCAGCCGCTGTGGAGGTGGAGAAGAGCCGAGGACCGAATCGATTGATCCCACAATGCAGAGATTTTAGGCGGGAAACGCATCGGCTATAACGATGCAAAGCAAATGCCGACATCATCTTCTCGCTCTCGCTCTCGCTCTCTCTCTCTCTGGTTTTCTTTGTCTGAACACGACACTTGGAAAAGGAAAAGACTTTCACACTATAGCATTTTTACTTTGGAAACCCAAGAACAACAAGAACGAGAACAAGAACCACAAAAAAAAAAAACCCTAATCGATCAGATCAGATCCGATCGAGAACGAGGACATTCTTCTGTCGGGGTGAAATTCAGTCTTGATTTCTTTAGGGGCAATGAAGCAATCGGGAGAAAGGCCTTGAACGTTGAAGGCGACATCGTCGATGGACCAAGTCTCTTGCATCTTGGTGACGGAGATTCCTCCCTTGGAAGAATCTCCAAAAGTGGAGATAAGGGCATTTGTCCGACCAGAGTGTGCGATCACTACTTCGCTGCCTTCGATCGCCTTATAGTCTTCGATCCATGTGCTCATCGATGTCTCCCAGTACGTTGGAAGAGTTCCCGGTATTTGGATTCTGCAAAACAATATACATATACATATATATAATAATACGTAGATACGAATAAAAAAATAATCGACATTCATTTGTTTTGTTTATAAGGTAAGTATTTTTTTTAAAATTTTACTAAAAATTATATTTTTTTGTGTGTGGAATTCTATTAAAATTATGTTATCTATTTACATCCACTCAATTATCAATAATAAAATAAAAACGCTTATTTTTTTTTATAATTTATTAATTTTGGACGATTAGGGTACAGTTTATCAACCCTGAAACAGAATATTCATGGATTTGATCTATTAAAAGCAGAGGTCAACATTTCTGATACATTTGCCTATTTTTATTTTTTTAATTGTATTTATTCGATTTTATGTTACATATTGTTTTAGAATCGGGTTCAAATTAGTTTTATCGAAAAAATCTTCACTTGTTTTAAAAGATTTGTATTTTAAAATTTTAATTTAATTATATTTAGTTTAAATTTTCAATTAATTTTCACATCGATCAACTTCGTTCCATATACGATTACATATCATTCGGATTCGGTTTTCCAAATTAAAAAAAAAAGGAAACGTACACCTTTATCTATAGATAAGTGATTAATCTCCACTAATCATAACAAGTTCCAATATTCTCTGCTCAAAACAAGTTTCTAATTGGTTAGATTAGCAGTACTAATGACGATTAATTAAGGAGATAATCGAGATTACCTGGTCAAGGAGGAGTCGTCCAAGTAGACCAGCAGGCCGCTCCTTTGGCTGAAGTAGCCGAAGGCGACGTGTTTGATCATCTCGGCGGTCGAGTCGCTGCGCCTCGTCAGATCGGTTTGGTCGGTCGATAACTTGAGCACGAAGCAATCGTCCCCTCCCATCTGCTTTTCCCCGACAAATTGCGCGGACGAGAATACCGACGATATCGTCAACGGGTCCAATCCCTTAATTATTGCATTAAATATCCATTCCGTTGTCATTATTAATTATAATAAATATTCAAAAAACCATACTTATTTATTATCCGAATCATATTAGATAAGATAAATTATCTAATACGGATATAACTTTATACATAACGTTGCTAAAAAATGATCAGAATATCATTTTTTTTAAGATATTCTGGAAGTTTATCGGACTTTCGCTTTGACTATATCTCCCAAAAAATTAGAAAAACTCATATGAATGACACTCTCCAAGTGAATACTTGAATCCGGATTTGAAAGGAATTTTGATTCTTTCTTTACCGGTTAAGTCATCTAATGTTTTTTTTTGGGTAACCTAAGTCATCTAGTGTTGGATTCAAAAAATAAATATTTGATATTTGTGAATGTCAAATTTTTGGATAATTTGTTCAACCCCTATCTATTGCCGCCTATTTTTTTTTTACAAAATACAATATATTTAAATTTTTGTGACAAATTCACTTGAAATAATTAACTTTTTTTTATGGATACATTAGAAGTATCTATTTGTTTGTTGTTATTACATGATGATTATGGGTTTTGAAAACAAAGTGTCAAGGAAGATGCGTTCTCAGCACCAATAGCAGTAAGGACCACAACCAAGCCAAGAGGGTAGATATCCGACATAGCTGACGATTCACGAATATAAAAGCAAACACTACCCATCAAATCTTGTGTCCATTTTTTTATAATAAGAAAAAAAAAAGAAATATTAGAATGGTTATGGGTCAAACGTATCATTATTGTTTTTATATATGTACCAAGAGAAGGGGACCATTCACACACAATTACATAGGCAATGTTTGTGAATTGTGTCTGAATTGTGTGTGAATGGTCCCCTTCTCTTGGTAAAACAATGTTTTAGCCCCTATATATATACATAGGCATATATATATATATAAATACAATAGGTGTCTAAAGCAATTGGGATTGGATCCAACTTGGAATCTTGAATTTTCTAAGTTTCTCATTAGTAAAAAAGGCTTGATGAATTAATGTGATTTTTCTAAAAATGTAAAATTTACTTTTTTTTTGTGATTCAGAAAGTAAATTTACAAGGTTAACATTGCAAAGTTGTTTTGTTTTTTTTTTATGTTTACCATCAAGTAGGTCTCATATAATTTATCTGATCTAAAATTACAAAATTATAAAATTAATATTCATAAATAAATAAAAAATACCCTTTTCCAAAAACAAATTTAAGATTAACAAGAAAAAAAGCTTTTTGGAAAAAAATACTTTAATATTAAGACAACTTCCATTTCGAACAAATCAAAGACGAAAAGTGGGTTTTTATTACTGCGAGGAATATAAATACCAGTGATAAAAAATCATTGGGAAATTTTTTTTTTCCTTATTTTTATTTAAAGACGTACCAAATAAAATTAAATTATTACGAAAACGTCTCTTTTCCCGAAACCTAAAAGAATCTGATCAATGTCGTAAAATTAGCAGGCACGTGATAGGCACGTGATAGATGAGCAAAGGTACAAGAGCTAGCAGGCAATTGCCGCTACACCAAATTTCAGATCCAACAAATTAGCTGATTAATACGCCCCTCGCTAATTAATTAAAGATAAAATAATATAATTCGAATGGAAAGTGCTCACGGGAAAAAGGGGACAGAAAGTATGATTATTATTTTAAAATATTTTAAATGTTGGACCGTATATAATGGTTTCATGTTATTATAGTTTCACACCTTGAACACAATGCTATAAATAGCAATTTATGTGCGCTATGAAAAACATCTTATCGTTCACCCACTTTTTAAATTAAAAATTTCAATAGACGGTAAAATATGATATCTCAAACATATAAAAAAATTATATAAATATCTGTTAAAATTTATTTGATTAATATACAATTTTTAAATTCCAAAAAATATAAGAACTTTTACAAAATCATGAGTTTTACAAATATTCTAAAAAAAAAACTATATGATATTTGATGCTTATTTGACTTGTAGCTTTTTTTTGGAGGTTTTGTGAAATTCTCTGTAAAATTTTTAAGTTCTCGTAAAATCCATGATTTAAACTAGTAGTCAAAAAAAGTTTGTGTATTTTATTTTAAAAATTAAAATTCGGTATTAATTTTACGTATTTAAGCTATAAATAACAACAAATCGTTAAAAAAAGTATAGATAACAAGTTTAATATATATATATATATATTCAATATTTACTTGTCATATATATATATATATATACCTGTAGGGAGCGGCGTAGAGGCCGTAGAGTTCCCTTAGCGGACTAATTCGATCAGCCACTTGTCGGGAAACATCTGCCACATTACGAACCGGCCCTTGTGGGCCACGGCCGAGCCACCGCCGCCGCCGAGTTCGTCGCACATAGCCATCGCGATTTTGCCGGTGACGAATGTGTTTTTCACTCTCCCGACCAATTTCTTGCACCCGGTCGCCGCCGTGAAGTGTTGTATTATGTATTGTGCTGATGATGATACCTACCAAAATATTCCGTAATTTTTTTAATTTATGAAATCGCATTATTTAATAATATAAACTGATAATTTATAATATTACGGATTTAGGATGTGATTTTTAACTTTTTATGTTGGGGTAATGAGGATAATTCAAAGAAGGAGGACCATTTTTCCATCAGTGACTTTTGTTACTGAAGTGGTTGATCTACCTTATGTTTGAAATCAGACAAACCACATATTTACCACAATAAATTTATGAAAACATTCAACAAAAAAAAAAAAAAAATTATGAAAACAGGTGTAGAAAAATTCAAACATTAGAATTTTCATGAATCATTAAAATCTCTTATACAAAATAGAAAATTTAAAAAGTATTAAAGAATAGTTTAAATTGATTAATTGGAATTATTAAAAAAAACCCAGTTACTCTTTTTATATATATTTTTGTATAGAAAATGTCTATTTAACTAATTTTTTCGTATTAAAAAAAAGTTGTATTGTTTGGAGTGTTTTTACCATTTTCCCCCAAATTAATTAGGAAAAAAAACAGTTTAATTGAAGAAGATTTCTTAAATAACAAGGAAACAAAACACACACACACACACACAAAAAGGGATAAGGCATGAGATCATAAGAGATTTGTTGTGATCTATCACATCGTATATTCGTTCTTGGTGCGAACCCTAAAAAGATAGAATGGAAACCAAGAAGAAGAAGAAGAAGAAGAACTGAGAGAGAGAGAGAGAGAGAGAGAGAGAGAGAGGGACCTCATGGAGAGAGATTTTGGGAAGAGGGGGAACGGGGAAAAGAGGGCATCCAATGACGCTCAAAAGGACTTTGATATCTGATTTTGGGTGAAAACCCATGAAGGAGAAATGTGTTTTCACCCATTTTCTCCATGAAAATGGTTTGGTTCTGCCTCTTTGCGCGTCTCCTCCTCCTTCTCCTTCTTCGATCGGCTCTTCCAACAATGGAGCCAAACGGCTCATGATGACCACTCTTTCTTCTTCTTCTTCTTCTTCTCAATGCTTTGAGTTTTTTTTTTTTTTGAATATTGTTCAAATGTGGGTTCTCTCTCACTTTGTTGGCACGCAGCTTATAGCCTTAGTGCGTGTAGTTCGCCTTTCCTTTTCATTGTTTGTTAGTTTCTCTCTCTCTCTCTCTCTCTCTCTCTCTCTCTTGCCATATCTGAAAAGGTTCAAAGGCATTGGTAATTTTGGGTCACCATCTTCTTCCTCCTTTTATTTTTTTATATAGGTTTTAACGTTTTATAATATTCAGTCTTATGTTATTAAATTTCATATTTTAGTGGGGGCTTTGGATGTGATGGTTCAACCCCACATGGAAAATTCAAGGAAGGTGCAATTATATATATAGGCTCGGCTAATTCCTATTAGTTCATATTTACAAAAACCATTATAAAAAAAACCAAATATATATTCGTTTGGATTCCATTTGATAAGGTTTGAGCCCGATAAATTAATAACAAAATTTTAAATTTTGCTTATTCGCTATGAATTGCTTCGAAATTATTTTTCATTTTACCGGATCAAAATGAAGATTTTCAAATTCTTAAAATAGGGGGGAGGGACATATTACTAAAAATTGCAATGTAAATGAAAGTAAAAGGAGAACCAAAGATGAAGCTAATGGAAAAAAAAAAAAACAATTCATGATTTGCTTGCAAGAATTCCCAAGAAAATAACAATTTACTTATAGTTGACCTTTAATACCCAATCTCATGGCTTGTGATTTATATCCACTAAATTAGAGATTTGCTTTGACATGAGATGCAACTGAAATCTCATAGATATGGTTCGAATATTATAATGTTTTGAAATATCAACAAATCAAATTCTTAGTTGCATTCTCTCAATCCGTTAGTTACCGAAATCATATGTTATATTTTATTTAATTGGGAATTTGATAAAATAGGTTGGAGAAGGTTTTATGGAGAATCGTGGGACCTCATCCTCCAAATAAATGGGATCTCGTCGCTAAAAAAACGAGAGAGATTAGCAAAAAATTCAAGCATTATTCAAGCAAAATTTCTAGATAAATAAGTTTTCTCATTAATTTTTTTTAAATCTATTTTTTTGTAAATTTTGAATAACAAAAATATCTAAAAAATTACTATGGTCCTAAGCAAATCTATTTATTTTTTTAATTTTTGGTTCAATACAAATTGACAAATTATCGCTTCAAATATTTAATATAAATATCAAACGAAATGGAAAATGGAATTGGCTGTTCTCATCAATAGTTGAGGATTAGTGATTAGTGATTAGTCCATAACATTTGTTTTCATATATTTTTTACATAATAAAAAACATCACGTATTTTTGCATGATTTTCAATAATTAATTCGATTAAAGCCAATGATTTCACGCACTAAAACTTATACGGGAGGGAGCAATACGAGAACATGGCTCACTAACTTTTGATAATCTTAACAGCTAATCGAATATGAACCGTTAAAATAAGGTCCAAAATATTTCATAAAAAAAAAAAAGTAAATTCTGTAAATTAGGTTAACCCCCAAATGCCAAGTTGGCACGTGCAAGGGGCTTTAACCCGCAGTTTGTCAGTCTTTTCAAAGTCTTGTGTGGGTGTAAACAAAGCAGTTATTTCGACATAGACCCCATTAAAAAGCTTTTGGACCCATCACTCAATGTTGCAAAGTAAAAATAAAGCAGAGAGAGAGAGAGAGAGAGAGAGAGAGAGAGATTCTACTTGTATGTCATAGAATATAACATATGCTTTGTTGGTATAAAGCGGGGGATGGATATATAAAGGGGCCAATAAAAGGTCCTTTGTAAAGTTTTTTTTTCTCTCCAAATGTTTATTTTAAATTTTGGATATACCACAAATTTAAACTATTATTTGAATCTACGAGAGAAATTGATAAACCTTTTTACAAATATGTCAGAAAAAATTGGTCCACAAAGTATTTATTTATTTTCTGATTTAGTGCCTAGCATCGAGACATTTATGTGTTACACCTACATCTTGAATTCCAAATTTAGATCTTTATTTGAATTCTATAAAAACTGTTTTAGACACGTAATTATCATATAATATTGGATCATTTTTTGATATATATATATATGTATGTATTTATATATATATATCGTGTTGTAGTATATACCTATGAAATTTACGCTTCTGACACAAAAAAAGTAACTTTTTAATAGTGGCCTAATAAAAGGTCTATTATTCACACGCAAAATTCATTCTTCTAATGCTAAATGAAAAAAAAATATATTGAAGAATGTATGATCTTCATAAAAAAAAAAGCTTATTTTATTTCGTACGTTAATATTTTTTATGGTTATATATATATTGAAGGGGGAAAAGGAATTGGTTCACAGATTTGGTTACAAGGGGGGAATTACAAGGGACGCAAGAAGAGGTGACGTGTCCACGTCTTTCTATATTTTGCAATAATTGCTGTGTCTGGTAGTTTCGTTCGTTTTTTACAATTTGTTTTTTTTTTGTTGGAAAATTTAGGATGGAAACATATTTCTTGGACGGTCATCTTGCAGATGAGACAAAACAGTTAATATGGCTACCCTTCTGATAATGAATGCCGACCAAAATTTAACTCCATGATGATGATCATGATGGTGATGATGATGATGATGATCACATAAAAAACGGTATGAACTTGAATATTTTCATAGTAGCGAAACAAAATGGACCGCTCCTTTCTCTTTTGATCCATCTTAAATAGATTAATTACTCATGAATCCTACCACGAAAAATTTTAATATATACATATATATATATATGCAATTAACTTGAAGTATTATTAACTTTTCGACTCAGGTTCAGATCTCGTTTGAAGAGGGGTATTCACAATTTTTTTTATCTTCTGAAAAATATAGTCGGATAAAAGATTGGTAAATTTTTAGAAAAAAAAATTTAGAAGCATTGTTATGGCGTTTGACTTTAGGGTGAATTTTATAGGAATTTAAATATAATAGAATTTTATTCGAATCATATCCAAAGAATTCAAATACAATGAGATAATTCATTGGTTGATTTAATATTTTCTTTAATTTTTTTTTCAAAACAGTTTGTTAACGGTAAATTCAACATTTACCGTCGGCTAAAATGAGGAAAACTTAAATTCATGGACTAAAAAACGATTTTTTTAAGGTCCTCCCAAACACATTTTTTAAAAAAATTCTGAAGCGTGAAAAAAATGGCTGAAAAGTAAAATTTTCCAAACTGGTAAAGAAACCAAGCCCGTGAATCACATTGAGTCAAAATACATTGCCATGATACTGAACAAAAGTTGTTTGACCTGCAAAATGGGATTTACCATAAATGTTTTTCATCCCCTCCTATGAACAGTTAGATTCACCCCCAAATTTCTATTTGATTATTTTCAAATAAAATGTAAATAAATTTATCTTCATTACTCCAATTGTATTCAGAACAGTTCCAATAAAATTATTCATTTTCTAAGAAGTTTTCCGCATTTTTAATCATTTTTTGATTAAGTTACCGAGTTTTACACCTTTTTTAAAAAAATTATATCCAATTAATTTTTAAATCAAATCTAGTGTATTCATTATTCGAATGACCACCCCTAATGTGGTTCTATTAACCACACCATACATCATGTATGATACATGACATCAGAATCAGATAATGGGTATGCTAACTAATGATTCGAGATTAGTGTCTAATCACAAATATAATTCCACATTTTGACTTCGGTGCGTGCTCAAACAATCATGAGAAATTATAAATGATTCAAACGGGTACGTAAAACACATGCAGACGTAATTCCAAAGAAGTTGGAACCAAACGCACAGGATGTCCTTCAAGGGCAAAAGTTCCTAGTAACAGCAGAGACAATATCCCAAACCGAAATAGGCTTTTGTTCATGTAGATAAGGTCGGTCCAAATGATGATTATACATAACTATGTCGAAGCATAAAGAACCGCTCCCACAACAATACCGAAAGGATTCATCTATAAAACTCTCTTGCTGCTCGTTGGGAGTGTTCTCATCATATTCATGGTTTAAAAGCCAAAGTTACCTCGAGTATCCGGGGCTTAGGCTTCTGCCCCGGATTGGACTTTGGCTTCTGCTCCTCGACCCATATGGAGACCTTGAGTATGACTGCCTCCTCTCTGCCGGGGAAACCGACCTGCCCAACCAAACATAACATGATAATTTGAGGAAAAGGGTTCCGAGACGGAAAGTTCCACTTGAATCTTTGTATGGTAAATGAAGAAATCATGCTAGGGAGGGTGTACCTTGAATAGCCTCTTTCATAGCGTGGCAGTGACCGAGAGTAGCTCCGCCTGTATGGGCTCCGAGAATAGCTTCTTCTGTCATGTGGTGAACGAGAATAGCTCCGTCTGTAGCGAGGAGACTGGAAATAACCCAGCGGAGATCTCGTACAACCTCTGCTCCTGGCAAAAAGGAATTCAGTTTCTTATTAGCTGTTTTGTCAAAAGAAGCACTGATTTGCTAAACCTTTGTTGTTATGGACAGTAGGAAGGAAATGTGGGATAGAATCAACCAACAAAATCATGTGAGATTCGAGCTAACCTTTGTCGTTCTCGAGCTCTCATTTCATAAGGCTTCTTTCTGTTCTCCTCAGCAAACACAACAGTAATTTCACGGCCAAGAAGAACATATCCATCCAAATGATATTTTGCATCTGCAGCATCAGCAGGATCATAGTACTGCACAAAGCCAAAGCCACGGGGTTCCCTGCAAACTTGAGGGGTTATCATCTGTAATACAAATATAAACATATGTATCTCTCTCATATAAGACCAGATATGGCAACTGAAATTTCAGAAGAAGCCGAAATGGATCCCAGAAAAATCTCAAGATACAACCAGTCAGGCCACCCTGAGGCTTTGAAAGAGCCAAATAAATATAATCATGTGGCTCCTAACCTTTTTCGAAGCCATTGTACTAACACTGACTTCGACTCTTCAACACTCGAACATCTTCAAAATGAAACCAAAACCAACTTCCTTCTCAATCTTGTCGGACTAAAATGTCCTTGACAGTACTCATTACTCGATGATGCTCCAACAATGAACTCTTATTACTTCATCGATCTCATGCACATTAGTCTTTCTACTTCATTGGTCTTCAACACTTCCAATAAAAACAACCAAACTTTGATGAACAAACAATCCATGATAAAGAAACAATTACATGACCATACACACAAGAGAGGCCATACAGAGACGAGGTAAAAAATGCACAGAAGACAATAGTGAGAACAAATACTATCAGTCTATCATCACTAAAAAAGGACAATTTCTAGAATGCTTACCCAGAGTAATAATCTCGAGGCAAATAGATATCCTTAAGGCGACCAAACCGTCCAAATGGCCTTCGGAGATCATCAGGCCTGAAATGGATAAGTCAATGGGTTATCTTCTCATCTTTCTCCACAAATCAGCCCTCCACAGATGAAAGCAGAAAGGCTCTTGCTTCCGGTCAAGATCAACCGATTGTTACAAACGGGCATTAGTGAATGTACGTACAAATAATCATGCATGCTGATTAGTAATGCACAAACCTGCAGTCATGGCGAAGGTTGCGAACCAGGAGACTGGTCGGGGCATCCCTACTCCGACCCCTATAACTGCCCATTAAGCTTGGGCTTCTGCGTCCTCTTCCATAATCCCTCGGAGGAGAAGGGCTGTAGCTATAGCTCCTCCCCATTTATCACTGAACACCAGCAAGTATCAGATCAGGCATGGAATCAGGCATTTCTATATTTCAAAATGAGGATTTCGGATTTGTACTACTATAAACAGAGAAAAATGAAGCAACAGAGTAATTCGGTGAAATCAATTTTCACGAAGCTAAATCATCCTACTGCGGAAAAGAAACCTAGGAGCCAGCCAAAGCAATCTAATCAAAACAACGGTGTTACTCTTCCAATTTTCCCGCCAACCCCCCAAAAAACAAAGGTTTAGGAAACAATAAAGAGAAAAGCAATGATCTATAGGATAATTCGTATCATTCTACAGAGAAAAATCCGATGATGCGTATAATTAACGGTGATCACGGGACAACAAAATCGCACAAGCAATCGCATCGAGGATGACGAATGTTGCAAAACCGATAGACGAAATCGTAACATTTGCAAACCAAAACCATACAGACGAAGATAAATTCATCGCAGAAACAAACAGGCGAAGACCGAAGACAACCACAAACCTGAACCTGCAAGAGAAACACAGTTCCTACCGCCGAATCAATCTCTCTCTCCTCTCGCTCTCGTGTGTTCTAGACAATACGAGAGCTTTCTGAATTTCTACAACACCTCGCATCGATTCGAGAACGTTCCACTTTTGGGCTTATATATTTTTTTTTCCAAATGCAAGCAGTCCATTTCGTGAACCCATCTCCGCCCATTAGAAAACCCGACTCGATCCAAATTGGCCCAACCGGGTCATTTTCACCCGATTTCCGATGCCCTATGTATCTACATCTATTTTTAATTGAAATAATTGTGTTCTTTTATTCCTTCCTCATGCGACACAAAACAAAACCCTAGTTTCCCCAAAACCTAAAGAGAGTAATAAAAGGCCCAAACACAAGGGTTCTCACCCTTTTTCCTTTCAAATCGTGGAACTGTTTTCAGCTTCTGCCTCTCGGGTATGTCTTCTCTCTCTCTCTCGATCCCTTCGAGTTAAGGGGAGATAGTGACTTAGTTCAAGGCATAGTGGACACGCTCGAGCAACTGGACGACTCGGTGTAACAGGAGATTTGGAGGAGGAGACTGAAGTTTTGAACTTGATTTCAAACAACTTTGAGATGGCAGTTCCGTCGATAATACTGCCTCTTGCTGTAAACTTGTAAGCTCCAGGAACTGTGCAAGCATGTCCCCATCTAATATCTTTGTGGCTTGAGCCTGCGAAATGCGGAAAATCTCTTGTTTCATGGAGCTCTTAACTATTTATTTGGATAAGCTCATAAGATGAAGCTTGTTACTTCATTAGGCACAAGTAGCTCAACAAAGAAAATACATTAAGAAAATAACAATTTCTTTTAGGATTCTTGGTGAACTTATGAAATTTCTATCGTGATAGATTTTGGTAAAACTCACTGCAAGTTTAGGAGTTACCTTTCTGATGGTCATGGCTATCCCACCCATGTAATAAGCGCAGTTCAGGTTTAGATTGGATTCTGGACTTGAATATTCCGTATCATCAAGAAAGCATTTGAGTTAGAAAATGCACCTCATAAATCATAGCAAGTCCATGAAAAGGAAAACAAAAAACGAAAATAAGAATGAACCAAGATCAGCGTAGCCTTTCTTTCAGAGGATCTTTTAATTATCAATGTTCTTTGACATTTGCAGAATGGGAATGATTCCATGAACAGCAAGGAGAGTCTTAATAAGGTCCTAGAAAATGATCAGTCAGCCACTGTATAGCAGGAAGCTTTACACGTTTGGTAGATTTTCCTTTTGAGTATGAGAACAATGCAGAGCCATATTTCTAAGCAGAGTTGCATGGGGCGCAGAAAAACAAACGTGAAGGATATTGATGCAAATCCTACGTTGTTTGTGTTGCAGCTGTCTACCGGTTATCTGAATCCAGAGATGCAAGGTCTCTAACCAGTCTAGTCAAGGATATTGATGCAAAGCTGGGGCCTTTAGTAATCAAACCAAAAGATGAAGTTGATAGACAAATAAAGGATACTGCACACTCAACGGCTGTTGCATCTGAAGAAACGGGAAAGAAAGTTGAATTCATAGGAAAGGTTGAAGATGAAAACTTGGAGGGTAAGAACTCAGAGGCTGATTCGCTAGATCAAACTACAATGAAAGCACCGGAAGACGACGCCAAAGAATCAGAGAATGGCTTAAAAGATGGTGAGGAGGAAGCTGCAAGGAAAGGTTCTAAAGGTGATATGAGAAACGATGTTAAGGAAAACGTTGAGCTAAAAGATGAGGAAGCTCGAAGAGCCGAAGTGTTTAGCAAAGGAGACAAAACAAATAACATTAAAGGTCATTTATCAGAGGGAACTGAAACTAATGCTCCAGAAGTTATGGTAATGGATGAGGATAGAAAGGAGGCATCAAAGACTATGGAATCAAGAACTCATATATCAACGGCTGCTGAAAACAAAGTTTCAGAAACTAAAGTTAACGACAATATCGATGAAGAGAGAACACTCTGAAACTGAACTTCCACCAAAAATTGTCAAGGACAAGAAGGATGAAGAGATGATGACACGGATAATGAACTCAGTAGTGATGGACAAGGCAGATGAAGATGAAGTTTCTGTAATAAACTCTCCAACCTATGCATCAGAGAAATTTGAAACTGAAGCTACATTGGACATAGTCATGGACAAGGAAAACGAAGTGGGGGATGATTCAGACAATGAACTCAAGTACTTCCACATAAGCTGGAACTGAAGTTTCCCTAGTAATTGTCGTGGACAATGCAGATGGAGTGGGAACACAACGGAAAAAGTCGATGACTTGTCTCTCGGGTGAAGCTGAAACAGAGACAAAGAACTCAACAGCGCAAGCTGAAACCCCATAGCTCGTCTTAATATATATTTCCAAAGCAATATGTGAAATATATTTTCGGAGTTGTGTTTTTGTCTGCCCTTATTATTGAATGAATTTAGTCAGAAAAATATATAATTGATCTCGTTTTTCATTGATTATCTTCACTTTAGGTCATTGATCATTGCCCATTACACCCCAAGATAAAAAGGGGAAAACGCACATGATGTCATTTTTGTGAAATTAAAAGTATGAGGCTTTTTTTTTGCACATATCAAGAACTAAGGCGGCAGATTGCAAAATCTCGTCTTCCCTTTTTAGCTGATATTAAATTGAAAAAAAAGAAGAAAACTCCCAAAAAAAAAAAAACGAGCTCCTCGTCTTCTTGTCAAGTCCTCAAAAACAGCACATGATAGTAGGAGTTGTGTGGTTGGAGCGTCTATGGAGCTTTCAATCTCCCAGTCATCGTGTATCCGGTTCTCAGCCATGGCAAAGCACTCTTCAGCTTATCATCATCAGCCTCCGCTGCATTTAGCGGGAAAACCTTTCAGTTGTCCGAAAAATGTGGGCTTAGTTAACTTGTCAACGCCAAGGATGTGGTCGAAGCCTGTTCCGATTAATTGTCGGAAAATCTCGATCCGGGTATGGTATTTTCTGCAATTTAAATTCTGGGTTTTGTTTGTGGTTGAGAATTACGCAAAGGAATATAAGCAAAGCGGTCAATAGTTTTTGTTTGGACCTTTCGAATTCTTCAATGTTGTACTTGAAAACTTCGTTATTAAAAGCTGGACTGGTGAAAACTGGACTGGCGAAAAGTTTTGGGCAAGGTTTTCCAATTTTCTTGCAACTGAAGATTGAGATAAATCATCAGGAAATGCCCAAACTTCATAAAGTTCCGGACTTTGCAAATCACTCGTTTTCGTTTATCATATATGAATTTGTTCCAATGGCTAATGCCCCCATATTGACATTTCCAATTTGTCGAGTTTCACTGGGTTATTGATTACTCCTCTGATGTTTTCGTTGCATTTATAGCCGATAAATTAAACTAGAATTGAGTTCAGCTTGAAAAGCTGTTTTAGGGAGTATGTGTGAGTGATTCCCGGGAATCAAATCTGAGTGATTTTTAATGTTTTGCTCAAGAGCTGTTGAACTCTGATCCATGAAAGCTGTGTATCTATCTACCCCTTCTGGAAGGAGAAACGGTTGCATTACTGATCTGTTCAATTGTCAAATTTTAAAAGTGCTTGGAACAGAATGAGATGTTTCCTCTTTTTCTACAGAATAGATGTCATTTGTCAGTTTTGCCTTCTTGAAGATACTCTATGTTCTTGTAATTCTAATGACGAATGTTAATTTATGGTTTTCTCCGGCCTTGATATGAAAGTGCATTCTTTCAGGCCTGTTCTCAAGTTGGTGCTGCTGGGTCTGATCCAGTGCTGAACAGAATTGCACGGTTCCAGGATGCTTGCTGGAGATTTCTGAGGCCTCATACAATTCGTGGAACAGCTTTAGGATCCGCGTCAGTATTTATACCACTGCTTGCATATCGGTTTACTCTATATTTCTCCTCTCATTTATCTTGACTGAAATTCTTTATTGCAATTTACTGGCAGTGCTTTGGTTGGAAGAGCTTTGATAGAGAACACTCATCTGATAAAATGGTCTCTCGTATTCAAGGCACTTTCAGGCCTTCTTGCTCTTATATGCGGGAATGGTTACATAGTTGGCATCAACCAGATCTACGACATTGGAATTGACAAGTACGTGACTTCACAAATGCAAACAGACTTTGCTAATTATAATTGACAAAACGCCGAATTATGATCTCAAGAAATTTTGGGACTTTACATCGGTGTGCATTAAAAAGATTCTCACAGTTTTGGAATCTCATATGAAGCTACTAGTTTGTACGGTCTTGTTTCCCAGGAAAATGTTTTCAGCTCATGCTTATCATTCTCATTTTCTGAAATTGAAGCTTTTGTAACATATGGGATGCAAACTGTATGTGATCTTGACCTGTAAATTACAAGATCATTCAGCTTGTATTTGGTCCGGACTGGATGTATTCGTTCTGCAGGGTGAACAAGCCATACTTGCCAATCGCAGCAGGGGATCTTTCAGTGCAGTCTGCATGGTCATTGGTTATATTCTTTGCGATAGCAGGGGTTTCAGTTGTTGCCTTGAACTTTGGACCATTCATTACAAGCCTATACTCTCTTGGTCTTTTCCTGGGGACCATCTATTCTGTTCCGCCCTTTAGAATGAAAAGATTTCCTGTTGCAGCATTTCTTATCATAGCAACGGTTGGTGTCTTTTGCTATCTTCTTCTGCTTCGATTTTTTTCTATATGAATCTGCGCTTTCATTGAACTGACACTTCTATCTCAGGTACGAGGTTTCCTTCTTAACTTTGGTGTATACTATGCCACAAGAGCTGCTCTTGGACTTCCATTTCAGTGGAGGTTAGTTAGTTTTCAGTGCAAGTGCTTGATAAACCAGATGAAATAGTGAGCTGAGGCATGTATTAACAGACGAGATATGGGTAAAGCAAAGGAAGGAAACCGACTCTCTCTTCTGATTTGTTACACATTTCTTCATGTTGTTTAACCCATCAATCATATGCTCTTGGCCATTTTTTAACCGGTTTAAGGCATGCCCTATTAATCAAAACTGTATCATATGCATGATTAGTTTCAAAATCCGGCCTGGATTGTTTCTTGCATCTCATACAACATTGAGATGATTCAATCGGTCTTTCATGCCATCATAATATGGTGGAGCATAAATTCCTCTTTTTCCAATGTTGTAGTGCACCTGTGGCTTTCATCACATCTTTTGTGACATTGTTTGCACTTGTCATTGCTATAACAAAAGATCTTCCAGACGTTGAAGGGGATCGCAAGTAAGTAGCTTCTGGTTACTTAATCAACTGTTTTCATAGTTCAGTTTGGCCATTCTTTTTGTTGGCTCAGCCGTCATAGATTTGTACATTTTGGAAATCAAGGGTGAGGATTCTTGTTTGAAAACTCACAGAATGTTCTGTCCTGAACCTACCAGTTCCTGCCAATAATTTCATGATTATGCATTTCTTCAAACCCTTTTAATAAGCCGCTACAGTCCCACCAAATCCTCCATAGCAGAGTTTTCGCTTCATTTATCCGATCTTCTTTCAATTATTTTTTTTTCCAACAGGTTCCAAATATCAACCCTAGCTACAAAGCTTGGAGTGAGGAACATTGCATTCCTCGGTTCCGGGCTTCTGCTACTGAACTATGTTTCCGCCATATTGATTGCTTTCTACATGCCTCAGGTGAAGGAATCTTCATTCTAGTCTGCATCAGCATCAGCATCAGCATCAATACATTCATTTAAGCCCTCTATCCTTTACAAATTCACAGGTTTTCAGGCGTAACTTAATGATTCCTGCACACATGATCTTGGCATCATGTTTGATTTTTCAGGTTTGTTTTCTATTCTTCTAATTCTTCAGTTTGAGTTTAATCCCCATAAGTTTATGAAAATATTTGGAGATGCAGCTTGAAAATACACTATATACAACTGCACATTCATACTAATACCGTTTGATGCCCGAAGCTAAAGCTTTTGCTTTATGCTTGAAAATTTTAAAAGTCGGTTTTTTTCACAATGAATCAATGGAATATCGGGTTTTCACCTTATCAGTCTCATTTTCTTGTTACAGACATGGGTATTAGAAAAAGCAAACTACACCAAGGTAAGTCCTTTATTCATTATTTACCACCGAGAAAGAACTATCGGCGATAACGGAAATGGAATTTACGTTTTTGCGGATTGTGAATGTTCCGAAGGCGATTCAAATGCTTTTTTATTCGAATCTGCAGGAAGCGATCTCCGGGTTTTATCGCTTCATTTGGAATCTGTTCTACTCAGAGTATCTGGTGTTCCCATTCATATAAAGCTTTCATGCTGCTGCTGAAGCATGGATGCTTTCAGCCCTTGTTTTTTTTTTAAAAAAAAAGAGAGAGAGATCAGTTTTAACATTATGCAAAATGCAGTTTTTACTGATAAAGAAACACTTTTTTTTTTCTTCATGTACTTGTTCTTGGGATGAGCCTTTGGACACTTGCAGAGGATGTTCCACACAGCTTCCATAACTTTAACATGTGATTTGTGATTTGTCTCAGTTTCATGCAAACAATTGTTCAAGTGAGATATTTACCCTAATGTCTGATGGCAAATGGTCATTTTCAGGCGTTATTTAGATATTTTCTAAGCATGCCTAGTAATCTGCATGACTTCTGTGCCAAAATACAAATTTTGATTATACGTAGACTGTATATATATATATATATAAGATAATCTAGAGAATAATTAAATTTTATTATTTTTGGTCATAGTATCGAAATTATGATTGTGACTAAAGCATATCCGAATTATAAAACCAATTAGTACTCTTGTCTAATAGAAAATTATCATAAACATTCAAGTAGAAAATAATATTTTGCCTGATTTTTGGAGAGACTAGTTCTTTTTTTTTCACCGGATAATATTTAGATAGTATAATATAATTACAAGATTTAAATGTGTCTATTCATAATTAAACATCTCGTGGTATATTCTAAAATAATTACAAATTTATGAAAAAGGTATATCCCAAAAAAAATTACAAAGGGGAAAAAAAACTAAAGAGGCGTGAAAAAAAAAGAGAAATGGAACAAAAACGAATAAGCCCAATAACTAAAGAGCCCAATGGAGCCCATTTACTAGAAATCCAAAACCCTAACGCAGCGTTAGCGCATATATTAGAAGAGCCCTCTAGGGTTTTTTCTTCCGTTTACACCTCCGTAGTAGCAGCTTTTACCCTGGTTTCCTTCATCCTCTCCCTCGCCAGTCTCAGGTACGTCTGCTTCACCGTCTCTCTCTCTCTCTCCCTCCGTCCCCCCGTCTCCGCGAGCTTTGCTTACGTTCAGTTGCCGGTGCAGCCATGGCCGCCGCCGAAGTAGTGGATGCGGAGATGCAGCAGGCGCTGACCAATGAGGTCAAGCTCTTCAACCGTTGGAGCTTCGATGATGTTTCGGTAATTCTCACCGATTTACCTCTGAATTTGTGGCATTTAGTGGCTATGTTGAGTGACTCAGGAGTTTGGTTCTGTCTCGATCTGCTCTCTTCCATTCTTTGCCAGATCTAGTTGTGGTTTTGGTCACTGATTTTTGTCTGAGAGGTTCTCTTTTAATTTTGCTTATATTTATATCTTTTTCCTCTTGTCATATGATGGGCATTAGAATACGTATATGTGTTTTTATATGATAATTCCATCGGTTTTTACGCATAAAAAAATGGATTGGACTATGGGTTTTTATCTTTCTTCCAGTAGTATAAACCAGATGGTGATGGATTCTATAGTGAGCCATTAGGTTCTTGTAGTAATTTGATTGTATCAGTAGTATTGGAATGTGTTAGCCGTATATTTCCAATCGGCAGAAGTTTCTTCTTTGTCCTAGCCCACATGTTACAATTAATCAAAGTACTCTCAAATTTCATCTTTGTTTCCTTAGAATTTTTCTTAGATTTGATTTGGTTACATTGCTTGTTTTCCTTTCACTTGTTCGGTTTGTAAAAGTTCTGATTTTTCTTTTGAGTTTCAGTAACCTGAATGACTTAGTAGCTGACAATCTATGTTTTTGTTAGTTTCCGGGCAGTAGATGCACCAATATTATTAGTGTTGTTAATTTTATTCTAATCAGGCCTTTCTCTATCCATATTGGAAAGTTTTCGTAGCTATGTAGGACATCTTCCATGTTATTGACCTTTTCCGAGTGTTGTGACCTTTTATCCTGTTACCTTGATAGGTCACAGACATCAGTCTTGTTGACTACATCGGAGTTCAGCCGGCGAAACATGCGACCTATGTTCCTCACACTGCTGGAAGATACTCAGTGAAAAGGTTCAGGAAGGCTCAGTGCCCAATTGTGGAGAGGTTGACAAACTCTCTTATGATGCATGGAAGGAACAACGGTAAGAAATTGATGGCTGTGAGGATTGTCAAACATGCCATGGAAATCATCCACCTCCTGACCGACTTGAACCCAATTCAAGTTATCGTCGATGCCATCGTGAACAGGTACTGAAACCTGCCTTACCCGATCTGATATGTTCTTACACCAGACTGTTCTAATGGAGTTCTGTGCCGTGAACCAGTGGGCCCCGTGAGGATGCAACCAGGATTGGATCTGCCGGTGTGGTCAGGAGGCAAGCCGTCGATATCTCTCCTCTAAGGCGAGTCAACCAGGCAATCTACTTGCTCACGACCGGAGCACGTGAGGCTGCATTCAGAAACATCAAAACCATTGCAGAGTGCCTTGCCGATGAGCTAATCAACGCAGCTAAAGGCTCATCCAATAGGTAAACAAAGAAAGTTAATTTCTAGCTCTTAATGTTTTGAATGCCCACTTCATTACACTTTGATCTGATGCAGCTATGCCATCAAGAAGAAGGATGAGATTGAGAGAGTTGCCAAGGCCAACCGTTGAAGAACCCTTTGCCCCGCACTTGCATCTCTTCATAGAGTGTGTTTTGTTTTGCATTATTTTTTTGTTTTCTCTAGCATGGGATGGTGTTTCAAGATGTTTTTTGTTCTATGTTTTAAGAACTTAATTTGATCAACACTCTTTTTCTAAGTAGATAAACTTTTAGACTACCGTCTTTACCCCTATTTTTTGGCCTTCGCCCAATGTTAAGCCTAATCTGTTATAAAATATCACTGCAATGATTAATTTGTAAAAGCGCTAAAATCCTATCATGCCCTAATTTAATATTTCCATTCTCTTGGTTGTCTTCTGAATAAAAATTCTTCTCTTTATTGCTGTCTTCGTAATTCAAAATTTAAATCCAATTTAGGGTTTTCTGTCCCCCTCTTGCGAGATATGGGGGAAGCCCTTTATTTCTCCTCTCCTCCCAATCTCACCAAGAAAAAAAAGTCGCAGCATTCCGAGAAAAAAGAGGATTTTCCGGGAGAGAAGGGAAAAAGTCGGAAACTTTGCATCTGGGCTAGTCGACTCGAGCGGGTATGGCAGTAGAATCGCAGTTCCATGTCAAAGTCGAAAACTGCAGCGTAAAGCAAAGAGGTTGATCCAGAAGTCGCGGTGCCAAGGTGAAGTCAGAAAATTTTCTCGGCATCCAAACAGAGAAAAGGGAGAAATGAAAAAGAAAAGCTGAGAACTTTAGAAATGGGCTGTCTTTGAGACAGTGAAGAAGATCCAAGACTTTGTTCGTCTATGCAGTTAGTTACGAAGAACGTGGATGGATTTTGATCCAATGGACATTGGAATGTTGAATCTTCTTTCGTATGGAATGGCGTTGGGAACTTGGGACATAGAGAGAGAAGAGGGGGTACTGTTTTCTATCTGGAAATAAAGGGGTCATTACAACATCAATAAGGAATGTGAGGGCTAAACTGTTAAAATATCAAATTTAAAGGGAATGTTGAATGGCACTTGTGGTGCTTTTCTTAATGATGTTGAAGATTTCCCCCGCTTAAACCCTAAAACCCTGCTTGCTGCATCAATGGCGATCGCTCGTTTCAGAGGCTTTCTCAGTAAAGTCGACGACTTCCATGGCGTCCGAAACATTTTCTCCTGTTCTTTAAAGACGGAGTTTCGCGGCCGGAGACAACCGCGAGATGAAGCGACAAGATTGCTCTTCGAGAGAATCTCGCCGATCGGAGATCCGACGGCTTCTATGGTCCCGGTTCTCGACCAATGGGTCAAAGAAGGGAACGAGGTGAACAAATCCCAGCTTACGAACATCATCAAGGATCTGAGATCCTTCAAAAGATACTCTCACGCTCTTCAAGTACGTTCATTATGCTTCCTTGTCTTGTTCATGGTTAGATTTCTCTTCAAAGCATCCGAATTTGCATTATTCGGTTCGAAATGGCCAAATGGGGTTCAGTTGGAGATTTGAGTGTGATCGCATTATGAATGGGCCAGCTCAATTTCTTGTACGCGCCTACAGGTTTGGATGCTGTTTTGTCGATAAATTTGGATCCACCACCATGTGAAGTTTGGGTCGTTTTATCCCTTGGAGAGAAGGCAATCAGGCATGGTTACTCAGGCACTGCTTTCTTCGAGTCGCGAAGAATCATAGACAAGTTTTTTGCCATTTTCATCCATTTATCTAGTCATACTTGATCGAGACAATTGAGATACATCTGGGTTAAGCTCAGTAAATGTCTCCACTTTCATCTTTGTTTACCCAATTGATATCCATGCCTTTGGGTTTTGGACAAATGCTCGCCGCCAAGTGTTTTTTGATGGTCCTAATCCTATTGATTTCTTTTGGATGTTGTTTCTTTGTAGAAATCAGGATATGGTTCATTCTAGAATCTTGTATGTTATGTTGTGTTCACTTTTACTCTCTAGAATTGCTCGTCTTGCAAAATAACCCTTGTGTTTTTCTCCGCAGATATCAATGTGGATGAGCGAGAAAAGGTACATCGAACTCACTTCAAGCGATATTTCAGTCAGGTTGGATTTGGTGTCAAAAATTCACGGCATCGAAGAAGCAGAAAGCCACTTTAACAATGTTCCGGTGCACCAAAGAAGCCTCGAGGTTTATGGTGCTCTTCTTAATTGCTATGCTAATGCAAAATGTGTTGAAAAGGCTGAAGGTTTGATGGATAAGATGAGGGATTTGGGTTTTGCCAGGGGATCTCTGGTGTATTCTGTTTTACTTGGCCTTTACCAGCAGACAGGTAACTATGGGAAGATGGAGAATTTGGTTGAGGAGATGGAAGAAAAGCGTATCCGACTCAATTCTCATGCATATTGCATCCTTCTAAATGCCTACCGGACTAAATCTGACACTTCTAAAATCGATGAGGTATTGAAGAAAGCTGAATCTGATGATGTTTATGGAAAGCACTGGTCTGTTTATTCCAATGCAGCACATGGGTACCTTGAAGCTGGCCTTGTGGACAAGGCTGTAACAACATTGAGATATGCTGAGGAATTCATAACCGGTGACAGAAGAAATCATTTGGCTTATGAGTTCCTGATGACGCAGTATGCAAAAGCTGGAAAGAGGGATGATGTTCTGCGGGTCTGGAAGATCTACAATAAGAAAAAAAGGGTACTAAATAAAGGTTATATCAGCTTTATATCCTCTTTGTTGAGACTTGACGACATAGAAAGTGCCGAGCAGGTTTTCGATGAGTGGAAAGTCAAAGGATTGTCCTTGGACATTCGAATTCCAAATCTTTTGATCAAACATTACTGCAAGAAGGATCTCCTAGAGAAGGCCAAAGCTGTGATAGAAGAGATCATTTCAAAAGGTGTGAAGCCCAATGAACAAACATGGTTATACCTCGCGAGCTGTTATCTTGAGGAGGGTAGATCTCAAGAAGCTGTGGAAGCGATGAAGAAATCTCTCAGGGAGGCAACCTCCATTGATATCTCTGAGTGGACACACTACAACGATGTCTTGGAAGCTTGTTTGAAGTTCTTGAAGGAGGAAGGAAACATCAAGGAAGCAGAGGAATTTGTTCAGTTACTTGAACAACAAGGTAATGCTTCTCCAGTTGTTTCTCAGAGGTTTTTGCAATATGTGACTGGAGAAAATCCAAAACCTGAGGAGCAGTGACTTAGAAAAGCCGATCAGAGGTTGTATTTGCTAGGGTTAGTAAATTTTTAAGAGCAATGAGATGGTTTTACTCTTGTGAGAAGAGTTCCAAGATTTGAGAATATTTTGATATTGATCACCTGTTTGTAGAATTTTCAAGTTTGCTTGCAGACAAGGGTATTGTTCCTCCCCTTGTTGTTTGTTTCAGGAGATATATATATATGTATATATATATATATTTGCAAACTGTGAAATTATATAACCATTATCTTCACTTGCACCTTTATTACATGCTTTACTACATTGATCCAAAGTAGATCTTTTATAACATAATTCTTGTCTCATTGACATTGTTCCTATTGTTTCTGTAAATTTGTATATGTTTAACGTTTTGTCAAAGACAGTCTATTAATCAATCAAGCATGTGTGATTTCATTTTCATCTAATAACAGTCCAATACTATCGTTAAAGGGGGGTATTAATGGTAGTTCGGAAATAAAAGGGTTATTTAATACATCGATTAAAAGTGCAGGGGCTAAAATGAAAACAACAAAAAAAATTAAATTCAAAGAAAACGCGAAATTGGGCTTCGGTAAAATTCGGCTCAGGGACTCTCTGATCTGGCGCGTCTTAAACCCTAAACTTTGATTTCGGTTCCAATGGCGATTTCTCGTTTCAGAGGTTTTCTGGGTGGGTTTAACGCCTTCCATGGCGTCCGAAACATCTTCTCCCATTCGAGAACAACAGAAACTACCAACTGGAAATCCTCGCAGCACGATGAAGCGGCGCGATTGCTGTCCAGAAGAATCTATTCGATCGGAGATCCGGCAGCTTCTTTGGTCCCGGTTCTTGACCAATGGGCTCGAGAAGGTAACCAAGTGAGCAAATTCTGGCTTTCGAAGATCATCAAGGAACTCAGATCTTTCAAAAGACACTCCCAAGCTCTTCAAGTACGCTCAATCTCCTTTCTCATGTGGCCCGTCTTTAGGGATTCTCTGCCAAGCATCTGCATCTGCATTTCTCGCTTGGAAATTATTGTGCTGTGTCAGATTTTCGTTATTTCTTTTTGCTTCGGAAATGGCGTTCGATTGGGGATTTGGGAGTGGTATGATTTGCCATTGCATTATTGAAGAAACTACGGAAGAGCATAAGCAAAAGTCTTACCTTTCTGATGTGAATTGTGTGCCGCCGGATTTGGTTATCTCTTTGTGCATGATTTGCTGATTTTTTTTTTTTTGTTTTATTCCACTTGTATCTAGTAACAATTGGCCGAGACAATTGAGTGACTACTAAGTTCAGTTCAGTAAATGTCCCTATTGTCCATGCTCTCATGTTTGGGGTGCTTTCTTTCAGTGGCTGTGCGGTTGCCAGTTGACCCTCGTCATTTCTTTTGGCTGATTTCTCTCCGTCGAAATCACGATTTGGCCCTTGTATCGTATGTCATGTTTGTTGTTATTCTTTGGAATTGCTGGCCGTAGAAATAATCATCATTTTGTTGTTCTGTAGATATCAATGTGGATGAGCGAGAAGATGAATATTTCCCTTGATCCACGAGATATCTCGCTCAGGCTGGATTTGATATCGAAAGTTAATGGCGTAGAAGCAGCAGAAAACTACTACAACTATATTCCAACGCATCAAAGAACGATCCAGGTTTATGGTGCTCTTCTTAACTGCTATGCTAATGCAAAATGCGTTGAAAAAGCAGAAAATGTGGCGCAAATGGTAAGGGATTTGGGGTTGACCAGAGAACTACTGATGTATAATACGCTACTTGACCTCTATCGGCAGACATGTAACTATGAGAAGATGGAAAGCTTGACTCAAGAGATGGAAGAAAATCAAATCAGGTTCAACAGTTACACGTATTGCGTCCTTATAAATGCTTGTGCGGCTAAATCTGACACTTCTAAAATCGATGAGGTTTTGAAGAAAGCTGAATCTGATGATGATTATGGAATACACTGGTTTGTTTACGTAACTGCTGCAGAAGGGTACATGAAAGCTGGGCTTGCGGACAAGGCTGTGATGTCTTTGAGAAATGCTGAGAAATTCATAACCAGGGACGAAAAGAAATCTCGATTTTATGAATTCCTGATAACACTCTACGCAAAAGCTGGGTATAAGGACGATGTTATGAGGATTTGGGGAGTCTACAAAAAGAACGAGAGGGTGTTAAAAAGTGGTTATGTTTCCATTATACCCTCTCTGTTGAGATTTGATGACATTGAAGGTGCTGAAAAGGTTCTTGAGGAGTGGAAGTCCGAAAAGTTTAGCTCGGACATCCGAGTTCCAAATTATTTGATTGGATACCACAGCAGGAAAGGTTTTATGGAGAAGGCAGAAGCCATCATAGAGGAGATGATCTCGAGAGGCGTAAAGCTCAATGTATGGACATGGTACTACATGGCTAACGGTTATCTTCAGGTGGGTAAATCTCAAGAAGCCGTGGAAGCGGTGAAGAAAACTATGAAGGCAGCAACTGTGGTCGATGTCTCCAGGATGACACTAAACAATGATGTTTTGGAATCTTGTCTGAAATTCTTGAAGGAGGAAGGAAACATTGAGGAAGCAGAGGAGTTTGTCAGTTTGCTTGAACGAAAAGGCTTTGCTTCTCCCGATGTGTATCAGAGGTTATTGCAATACATAAGAGAAGAAAACCCGAAGCCGAATCCTAATCTGTTCGGTGAATCCGAGGAGAGCAGTGAGGCTTGAAGTTTGTTCTGAACCCACTGGAGGGTGTGGAGATAGAAAGCAAGAAAAAGAGTGTTTCAGAGCAAGGGAAGTGAGCTTGCATGGTTCATCCCTCTTAGGGCTTATTACCGAGTTTGCTTGGAGATTTTAAACTTGTTATAACCCTAATCTTTGAAATAAACTGAAAATGGGTATTGTTTTGCAGTTTTGTTTCTAGTCCTTTAGGAATTTATGTCGTTCATGCAGCTTCTTAGAGGGACTTTTTTCGTATAGGAAAAGGAAGTTTGAGGCGATAACAGGTCTGTGATGCCCACACCGCCCGTCGCTCCTACCGATTGAATGATCCGGTGAAAAAGGAGTAGCGGTTTGGTTTAAGGTCTTTTAAGGTTGTTTACAAACGAGACGGGTTCAAAATTAGCGAATTCATAAGTATCTGAGGTGGACCGAACCGAACCAAACCAATCTGTAGAGTGGTGATGTTTTGACTCTATAAATATATGGAATTACAACTAGAATTTGATATATATATATATATATATATATATATTGTATTTAGATCCAAATATGACTTTTATCTATGACTAAACCGTAGATTTCTTAGTTTCTGATTCTTGAATAAGTGCCGAATTTTCGTTTCAGATGTTTTCTTAGGACAGCCAAGGCTTTTTCATAGTCTCCTGTTCTTAGGACAGAACAGCTCGCCCGGAAACCACAGCAAGACACCTCTTCCGTATAATCTCGCCGGTCGGAGGTCAAACGGCTTCTACAACTCCGGTTCTCGGTAAGGGAATGAATTCAGCGTATCTCAGCCTACGAGGATCATCAAACAACTTAGATCTTACATCAGATACTTGATCGGCTCACATTGTTGATTTTTCCCATGGAAAAATGGGTTAAGAACATCCAGATTGGTTGTTTGATTCGATTTCTACCGCGTCGATGGCTTTGGTGTTGATACATCAAGTGGTTGTTTGATCATCGGAATATCGTATCATCGGTTGGTTAAGAACATCCAAAGCCGTCGACGCACAATGGCTCTTGTAAATCCGATTTACTAGAAAATTGACGAGATTTCCATCGAGGGAGACACGGATCTCTCCATCTTGTAAATCCAAAGCCGTCTACGCGTTCTCCTTGAATTTAATTTTTTGTTTTTGCATTTTAGCCCTTTCATTTATCACCCATGTATTAAATACCCCTTTTATCCCCGATTTAACATTACCATCCTTTAACGATTGTTTTCTGTTTCGGCTGTTATTAGACGGAAATAAAATTATATATTCGATTGATCAACAGATTATCTTTGACAAACGGTGAAGAAAAGAGAAAATAATCAGTGCATTCACTTAGTTTTATCCATATATGTTTATATTATTCACTTTTTATGGCCCATAATTTATTCTTACAGTCGCAAATACACAATATTTGCATTTTTTTTACATCAGTAAACTATACTCTGCTTACTTAGCCATGTCCCTGGGCGGCTTCACGATGAGAATCGCGCACTTGGCGTGGTGAGCACAGTAGTCGCTGACGCTCCCGAGAAACGCTCTGCCGAAACGCGAAAGATAGAACGGTAAGATTTCTCGACAGCGATAGCGATTCAACGATACAAAAATATCGTTAGAGATATTGATAGATAGATGTGTTTTTTTTCCCGTGATTTCGATTTCCGGGGACTCGACTCGCCTTTTGATCTTGCCGAGGCCACGACTACCCATGACCAGAAGCTGAACGCGCATTTCCTCGACCGCTTGGCATATCACGTCTTTCGGGTCGCCCTCCATCAGAAGAGTTTCCACATTTACCTACAAAGACAGAATCATCATCACTTTGTTGACAGCTCAACCAACCGTGTATGTGCCTTTGAGTCAAGGCTTGGAAGTCAATTTTACACGAGCCAAATCAAAGATTTTTTTCTACCGGCCATGAGGTAGAGCCATATTTTTTTATAAAAAAAATGCTATCTTAATATTTCATTATTTTTTATGAAAAATATCTAAACTTGTCAAAATTTTTTAAAAAAACCTAAAATTTGTTCACATCAAATTAATCCAAACTTAATAATCGTTGTCAATTTAAATTAACGTGAATGATGATATGACATACCGATATTCTATATACCAAGTTAATAGTTTGATCATATTTGACACATCATCATCTATATATACCGATATCGGTATGCCACGTCAATCATGATGGATTTAAAAATGACAATTGTTATAAAGTTTATGTTTATTTATAACTCAATAATCAAGTTAAGGTTTTAGTTGACAAACAAACAAAATTCATGTTTTATTTTGTGAAAATTGACAAATTCGGGTATTTTTTGGCGGTTTAAAGCTCGGATTGTCAAACCGAACTAAGGTCATACACTTTTTACTTGAAAAAAAATAGTTGAGACCGAGAGGTCACCGGTTCAAACCCTACAAAAAGATTTGCTTTCGAGATCCTACTCCAGGATCTTGATGATTCGGATCGGACCGGACCAGAGTCGGTTGGTTTTACAACTCACATTTGGTATAGGGTTTTCAGTTGTGTGTGTACTTAGTTATGAAAATTTTAATTTTCAACCAAAAAAAGAAAAAGAAAAAGGCAAAGCACCTTATTCTTCCGGCAAATTTGGAGGGCGCGAGCAAAAAGTGCAGTGGCGGTCTCTCGTTGGGCTTTTCTCACAGCCTCCATCATCGATGACGTCATGTAGACTGCTGCTGCATGGCCATTCAAAGACAGATCAATTCCATGTTTTTATGTTACACGAGAGTGCATTATCTGCGTTTTCTCGCCCATTAAGTGACAATATCCATGGAGTTCTTGGTTCCGATGCATATATATATATATATGTGTGTGTGTATGTATACTTGCACGCACATGTACACAGACACCTACACGCATGTTAAGCTAGCTCAACAGACTGCATGCATGCATGCATAAACATGAACTAAACAAGAAAAAACCTAATCGGATGTCCGTGTTTAATCTGATTCCAAATTTCCAATGGGTTATTAGAATTTAGCCAACTCAAGAAATTTTATATGAAAAAAAGGGAAAAACAATAAATAATTAAGAAACATATATAATATCAGATATAAGAAATTCAAGACCGGTCGCGCCACCGGGCCCCGCCGGAAAAGCAAACTGCTGGAACGGCTGCTGAACATGAACCACCGTCAGCATCCCTCCATCCGTCGCCGCCGCCGGCGACTCCTCCTCCGCCTCCGGTGGCGGTTGAGGCACCACCAAGCTGGAGAAATGGTCGATGACCCACTGGAGAGCGTAGAAGCTGTTATCGCTCTCGTCTATGGCCACCATTACCTTCGTCGCCAGCGGCCGGCGG